GGCAAGATTCGACAAAAGTACATTTGTTTGATTTCTCATTTTATTATGTTAATAATATTCTACTTCATTTTAAGTGTTAACCATTGCACAGTTTCTCTTAAATATCGTCACTGCATGAAGGCTAGACACTGCATGAAGGCAAATGTCGCTAGTCATTTGCACGACGGCGCCGATCAGGCTTGGCGCGGGCCTGACCAAACCAATTACATTTCAGCGAGCGTGGGAGTTGCAGGACAATATAATGCTTTGAAATACCTTTACACGTTTAGGGTTAACTACTTCTGCGTCCAGGGCTAACTATTTATTGATAGAACAGTCTTCTATAAAATTACCATTACATTGTGAAAGATTTTGTGTGTTTGACTGAAATGCCTAACTTGCCTAGAACTCAGCTTCGTTCTTTTCAACTAATTTATTAAGTGTGCCTCATTGCTGCTTCAGTTCTGTGTTCAGTTTCTTCAACTTGTCTTTCCTCATAAAGTTGGTATTTAGTTTTGTGTTGCTGATAGTGAAGGTTCACATTATGTACGTTTTCAATATTTAATATTTTCAAATAGTGGTCCATGTCAAATTTTCCAAATGATTTAATTCCGTTGTGCATTTTCCGAGCACAAAACACAGCTGGAAATATATATCGGGAAATTCCTTTACAAATCAGTATTTTCGCGACCTCGTGGATTCCCTAAAACACATGTCGCAAATGCACCATTATTTGTATATTTCTGATGTATCTGATCTCACCAGAAGCATTTTTAAGACCATAGGGTTTGTTTTATTACCGCAAAGCACGCGAGGGCTATCTGCCTAAGGAGAGGGATGCCATTGTGGAGGACTTTCTGATAAGAGCTAGCTCATATCCAAGATACACATGGAAACGCATATGCCTCCGGCCCATTCGTCGAGTTTCGAACTCGGATATTTACTGTTCAGTCATTACAGTGATGTCAGTGATTTTACTGTGCAGCGGCTTACAAGCTTTAAGACTGTCCACATTAGGTTGCCAGACGTTGATGACCCATTTAAGAGATTCTTCATTAAGCAGCCGGCTTCCCTGGTGCTACTTTGGTAGACTGTTGCACGGTCGTTTTTACGTTGGCCGAATAGTTGGCGCGATTTTTACAAACAATTTAGCCATCTTGAAATTTTTTACAATCAGCCATCTTGAAAAACGCTGTTTTTACGCATAGTAAAGTATTCGAAACTTAAAAAATAAATAAATAAATATCGTTAAAAGTAATGGATTAATTTTTTGTTGAAAATGTCATTTTTTAAGATGGCAGGCAAGTGTAAATAAATACATTTACTATGAGTATAAAATACTAAAGTAAGGTTATCATTACTTTCATATAGCAAAGAAGAGAATAAAAACACCGCTATAAAAACATTGGGCCAACGTTTAATTAGAGTAAAATATTACTGAAATCGAATTAAAAACCATCATACCAACATTTAAAAGAATTAGAATATTATTAAATTCAAATACTTTAAAATACGTTATATAGAATATAATTAACATTAAAACATATGGACAATAATTATCTCAGCAATTTCTGAAAATAGTGTATTAATTTTTTTAACAAAAATTGAAATATACAATTATAAAATAAAAGAAAAATATGTACTTACATTTTTTTGAGTGTTTAACCTGTTGTTTATTGATAAGTACCACAATAAAAAATCAGAATCATAATTTAGATAACATCTTTGAAGACATCTTTGAAGGAATTAGAAGATATAAATTAAATTTTAAAACGGAGCGGAAATGCACAAATTGTCAGTAACTTATCAGGGAGCTGATTACAGCTCGTTAATGCACAAATATTCTATAACCAATCAGAGAGCTTATTACATCACGGCTAGAATTAAAATTATTTAAAAATTCATACATAATAAAATCATTTTTAAAAAAAATGCAAAATTAAATTGTATTTTAATATTGAAGAGCCATAAATAATGTTTAAAACATTAGATTAAATTTATACATATTAAAACGAATTACTTTTAAAGTAAGGTGACGTGATTGATTACATCATCCACAACATAAAATTTCATAAAATATGATAAACAATAAAATTTTTATTTCAAATAAAAATGCAAAATTAAATTGATTTTTAATATTTAAAAGCCATAAATAATATTTTAAACACGGATTTATGCACAATAAAACGCACTATTTTTTAAATAAAATGACGACAAACTATCGGTTACCATAAATAACTTATCCAGCAATGGGTTTATCATAAGTTGTATTACTCGCCAAAGGAAAATCGCCAAAAAATCGCCAAAATCCGTGCAACCGTCTACCAAAGTAGCACCGCTTCCCTTAAGAAATTAAGAAGTATTAATGGGAAAACTAGAGGCATTAGGGCATGATCTGTGTCATGCAGCTTAGTATGCACCAGTTTATTGTTATCTATTTATACGCTGTCTATGCAGTATCTGTATATCTATATATAGCTGTATATTATGCAGTACCTGCGTAACGTCTGCATAATGTAAATTATAATGTTTGAATCAGTACTTTGTTAGCAATGTATTTGGGCCATATGTGTCTCCGTACGGTCTTATATTGCTATTTAGTATTTGTGTTTGCATTCGTATTAAAAATCTGGATAGTATGATTAATATCTGTATAGTTTATATAGTGCAGTTTAATATTTGTGCATTTGTGTAAAATATGTGTAATGTAATTTGTATCTGTATACATGCTTTCTTTCGTCATTTATCGTATCTGTATACAGCGGAACTTCAAGATACGAGTTTAATTCGCTCCAGCATTGATCTCGTATTGCAAATTTCTCGTATATAGAAACAAACATCCCCATTGAAATGATGGAAATCCAATTAATGTGTTCCGCAGCCCCAAAATTATCAACATAAAAATCAATTTTCTAATACATAACACTGGTAAATAATATAACCGTAGTTTACCTTTATCACAGCTTCCGACAACGAATCGCCTTTTAACTGCTTCTCGTTAATGTACACCAACAATAGCTTCTCAGCATCTTCTAAAAGTTTTAGACGGTGTTTGGAAGTAACGGTAATTACTTTGGCCACATCAAGTTTCTTAATTTCTTTCTTCTTCTTCAGAATAGTGCAGATCGTCGATGTTCAGAATAGTGTGTACACTGGACAGTGTATTCGAACAAATTGCGAAGAGACTTGAATGGCTACACTTTCTTTCTATGCCTTCTGCATCGAAACATTGGAATGAAAAAATGCGAATGACAGTTAATTAATATTTGAATGACATAAATAAAGAAGAATTCCTCACTGAGGAAAAAATATTTTAGAGTTTTATTTCTTTACTGCTTGCGTAAACGAAACCGAGAACTAGATCACTTGCTTTACACTCTTACAGTTTATTCCAGAATATAGTCACCGAAACGGAATTCCAGATACAGTGGAACCTCGTGATATGAGTTTAGTTTGTTAATAATATCCATTTTGCCCGCTATCGAATGCAACTTACCGATGTTTTTGCCTGCACGTAAGGACAGAGTTAAGTACACTTTTTCCCAAAACGAATTATAAACCTGATATAAAATGGATTCAGAAGAGTTTTTTCGTGGCACGTACGTACGTACGTATGTATGTCTGTCTATACGTGCATACATATGTACGTCTGTACGTACAGTGGAACCTCGAGATGAGAGTTTAATTCGTTCCAGCATTCGGCTCGTAAAGCGAATTTCTCATATCTAGAAACAAACTTCCCCTTTGAAAATAATGAAAATCCAGTTAATCCGTTTCGCACCCCCTAAAAATCTCATTACCATGTTATCCTCAGTCGTCGTACCTGGTATTTTTCGGAGAAGGTCCAAGTACAGATTCTTAGCCTTAGTGCAAATGATAGCTTCCGACACCAAATCGCCTGCTTCTCGTTAATCCACACCAACAACAGTTTCTCAACATCTTCTAGGAGTTTTGGACGGTGTTTGGATGTAAGGTAACTCCTTTGGCCACATCAAGTTTCTTAATTTCTTCCTTCTTTAGAATAGGGCAGATAGTCGATGTCGAACGGTTGTAAGTCTTCTCCAATTCCGTCACTCTTGCACCACGCTTATGTTTATATATGATATCTTTCTTAATTTCAACGGTCGTGGCTTTCTTTTCTTCCTTTGCAGCACTATTTGAGGCAACAATCTCCTTGGGAGGCATCGTGAAATAATTATTTTCACGTTAAATATAAAAAAAATTAACTCACAAGCGCACAAACATGTAAATCAAAGAACACTGAGTGATCTGACGAGGGGATTCCCCGAGCCGGATTGGGAAATGCCTCCACGCATACACACAGCCTGGCTCATTGCTCGTTACTCGAGTCAATACTCGTATTTAGAGACGAAATTGCGCTCGTACTTTCCTAGTATCTCGAATTTGTCGAATTTCCTCGTATCTCGAATTTCTCGTACATAGAGGTGCTCGTATCTCGAGGTTCCACTGTATCTGCGTAATGTCCTGCATTAGTATTTGAAATATGTGTCTGCATAGTATCTGTGTAGCAATGCGTAAAATGTATAGTCTAATATCTTCATCAGCATATGTAGCATCTTAATAAACCCCCATGCGTTTCTTGTAGGGCGCCGGGGGTGTTGCCCAAAACAGTTGCGGGATCCGAACAATACTCGATTAATAAGCCGCCTGGGTGTCCAGCTATATTAAAAAGTTCGGAAATATTCACAAAATGAGGTATATTTTCGGGAACATACTCTAAGCGGAACACTGTATTTAAATGCAGGACAAAGTTCGAGATGTTACTTTCCTTCAAAGAACGATGCAATTAAAGTGTGGTAAATTACGAGTGTGGTAACTTGGTGGTTCCTTTCTTCTAGGAAACGATTAAAGCTGTGTTTCTTACAGTCGTAAATCGTTTCTTAGATGAAGAGGTGAATCGTAACCATTTCTAATATTTAATACACCATTTATGTAAAATACAAGCGTTTTGAACAGAAGAACTATGACATTCAGTAAAATACAACTACTTCTTTTTTCAGCTGCAAGTTGCTCTGCCTTGAAACCTATACAGTATGGGACCATCACCCCTTCGAGGTGTATCAAAGGCATATCTATTTTCAAAGATGAATGCGAGTACGAATGTAGACCAGGGTTTCAACTGATTGGACCGAAGAAGAGGAAGTGTATCGATTCCAATGTCTGGAGCGATGCCGAAGAGCGTACAGTGTGCGTTGGTAAGTTAATAGTTCTGAAATATTTGTTGCTGTATTATTATATTTTGCGAAGGTATGTATCATAATTCATGCAATGGAATGTACAAATTACTGCTTGAAAGGTTAAAATTGACTTTAGAAGAACGTTTCCTGCTTGGGGCGAAGAATTTTCTTCCTCCTTCCAGCGTGCCTTCGTGGTGTACATGGAAAAAAATGTCTTATTGATATGCATCAGTTGACTGGAGTCCCGATTTTACTGCCTTAGTATCCAGCTTGCAAGCCATTCAAGGACGGCATTAACCAAATGTCTACTTTCTTTGCCGAATAACATCAGACTGAAATTCCCGTGGGATCGCGCTCACATTGGAATGTAAAGGAAACACGAATGAAATTGCGAAATCTGCGTCATAGATCTCGCTGTGTCTTTATTCTTATGCTATGTATTTTAATGTATCTCATGTTTATGATTTTACTCCTTTTGTACATACAAGGTGTGACACTCACACAAAAAAGAGACTGGCGCAATAAGTTATTGCACTTACAGAATCAGTTCTCCGTAACATTTTCATCTTCAAAGTAGTTCCCTTCAGCATTCACACACTTCTGCAATCGGTGCTGCCATTGCTGGTACGAGTTCTCGAACGAGGTTTTTGGAAAGCTCTTCAAAGGATTATCCGTTTTTGCCTGAACCCCTAAAATGCCCAGTCGCCTTTTAAAAGGGGGATTATATAAGGTATTTCTTCCGCCTTCGTAGTGTAGTGGTCTGCACGCTGGGCGCGTATTCCAGAGTTCTGTCGTTCGATTCCTGGCGAGAACGTTGCTCATTTTTCATCTTTCATGCTTTCAAAAATCGTGTCTACAAGTGTACGCTGAGAATGCTGTGAGTGAACGAAGGACTCAGGAGTGGTTTGCTCGATTTCGTTCCGGAAATTTCGATGTCAAAGATGCACTTCGCTCTGCTCATCCAGTCACAGAAAACGACGATGAAATTGTTCGACTGGTGGAGCAAGACCGGCACGTAAGCTGTCAGGAAATAGCGTAGGCACTAAAGCACAAGACAGTTTGGAGCCATTTGAAAAGAGCAAACTACAAAACGAAGCTCGATGTTTGGATGCCACGTAAAGAATTGTCCATTATAAGCTGCTGCAACCTGGCGAAACATACTGTACACAACTCGATCGTTTGAACGAAGTAACCCAGAAAGAGCGACCAGAATTGGCCAACAGAAAGAGAGTTGTGTTCCATCATGACAATTCTCGGCCACATACATCTTTGATGACTCGCAACAAATTGACGGAACTTGGTTGGGAAGTTTTGATGCATCCATCGTATAGCCCGTTCCTTGCACCGTCTGACTAACATTTGTTTTGGTCTCTGCAAAACTTTCTTGATGGTAAAAAATGGGGTAACCCAAGCGCCGCTGAAAATCACTTCGCCAAGTTTTTCGACGATAAACCACAGAACTTCTAAACCGATGGCATTATGAAGCTTCCCGAAAAATGGCAAAAGGTCATAGATAGAATTGGTCAATATGCATTTGATTAAAATTGATTTTCTATAAAGAAAATTTTCGTTAAAAAATGTACCAAAAAACCTTGGAGACTTTTTATATGGTCCCAATATTATATTAAAAAAATGCCTCTTATTATCTGAAATTATTTACATTCCGGCGTAAATTGTAATTCCGCTTGGCATGCTCCGTTGCTTAATTGCAAAAAACTAATTAATTGTATAAAAGTATTTTTAATAGACTGCATGTTATTAAACGTGATGCAGTATATATGAATGCATAAAAAATTATAATTAATTACAATGATATTTAAGAATAAAGCAAGCTTAATTAATAAAAGTTACTTAAAATGATTAATAATGGAATTATTTTCAATTCATTTTGTTCTAAATGTATCTGAAACAAACTGCAAAACTAAATGTAGTAGTAATAATAATAATAGTATATTTATTTAAATAGTTTTATTACAGTTTATTATTTCGTTAATGTATTGTGGTATTTAAGTTTCGCTAACAAAATGTTATTAATTTACATCTTTCTTATCTGCCTCATTTAACTATAAAGTTCGCTTATTTCAGAATTTATGTAGCTTTAAGTGGCAAGCTGTTTTACTACAGAAGAAACTCGCATATAGCTCTCGTACAGAATTTTGGTCTTCTAGCTGGAATTGCCTTGCCATGTGTAGCGATAATTCCATGTTGATGTGACTCCAAATAACGACACTTTGATAAGCAATAAAATTCGTTTATTTAGGACTAGCGGAAATACCCGATGGCAGTAAAGTTAAATTGAGAGTGATGCATCTAACAACAGAGAGAACGATAGCGCTGTAATCCTTCTCTAATAACAATGCAAAAAAATACGATTCATAGTCATACATTTTTCAGTCTGATGCGGTATGGAACCGACATAAAAAATTTTCATAGAAAAATAAACTCATTCTCTCTCATTATATCAGCAACAATAGCACGCACTTTTTATCGATTTTCGTCGTTCTAATCGAATGGTTGTAAAAGATCGAGTTCCATCCAATACTTCCCCTACATTCAATTTCAGTCGATTAAATGTGGCAAAACATTGATCATAATTCATTAGAAATCAATAGCACGAACAAACAAACAAACAAACACACATTCTTCATTGCATATATAGATTTTGTAAAACTCACAAATTTTTGATTAGCAAACCCTACGATTTGAAAGCGAGCAATAGCAACACTTTTCGAAATAAAACATTTTTATCTCCAACGCGCGAAACTGTGCCATTTGGAAAAATTAGTGTTTTCAGAGTTTTTAATTAATACCTCGGCTGATTAAAGTCGTACACAATCGAAATGGCTTTCCACGAATTTTTGCAATTGGGAGTAATGTATTTAATGTTTGGTAGTGCTATTTTTTTTCATTCTAAAACTTAAAAACTTAAATTTTTAATTAACAAACTCCACGATTTGAAAGCGAGCAGTGGCAACAACTTTCGAAATAAAGCAGATTTTCATCTCCAGCTTGCGAGACTGTTGCCACTTGGAAAAATGAGGTCGAAAATTATTTTTTTCCGTGTTTTTATATAATATCTCTTGTTTTATCTATTTGTTGTTTGTTTGTTTGGAAAAAAGTGGGCGTCGACCTTTTCCAGGACCCAGAAAAGAATTATAGAAAGTTTGCTAATGAGTAATTAGTAGTGACAGAGTTATTAGCGAACACACACACACAAACTTACGAAATGTTCAGGCGCGGTGAAATAGCTTCTCCGCAAAGCAGTTTTAGGGTTGCTATAAAACGGCAAGGGACGGCAGGATTGCCACACTTGGCAAGAAATCGCCCATTTGGCGACAAAATTAGCGATATACCATGGACGGATGGAGAACCTTCTACCGGTTTAGCCCAGAATGTTTTTGAACACAAGCCAAAATCTATATAAATCCTGCTGGTACGCGGAAAGAGAGTGGGAGATAGTCTCGAGTTAATCAGTCCTTGCGGAGTCGATCGAGTTGACAGCCGGGCAACGAGTGCTGAGTGGGTTGTCGAGTGCATCGAAAGAGTCTCTTAGTGTATCGCGGTTAGTGCATCGTCGAGAGAGTGTGTTAAGCTCCGGGAACGACTGAACCGAAGAGTCGGGAGCTGTGCTTTTGTTATGTTAAAAGTTTCGAGACCATGGTTAAATAGTTTTACTTCTAGGTACCATGTTATATCTGAAATTCCTATATTGTTAAATGTTAAATATGAAACTACTTGCCGTAAAAGGCAGTAATCGTATAGTGAAACGTGTACAGCATTTTTGCGTTGTGAAAAAAATGCATTCCGGGACCGCGCCGTGAGAGGATCGAAAACATAAAACATATACAAGATATAAAGGAAAAGTTCATATTAAATATATAAAGAAAACATACTGTAAGAGGTTCCAGATTAAATATCAGTTTATTCAATTACAACACAATAGAAAAATCTTAACCTCATCTGAGAGTCTGTTCATTTAAATTCATAAAAAAACTTAAGGTTTGTCTGGTGATTTAAAAGAAAGGAAAGGGAAACAATTTAAGGCCTGAGAGTTAAATTTTAGATTTGACGTTGTTTTTTTTTTTTTTTTTTTTTTTTTTTTTTTTTGCAAAGGGCGTTTTTGAAAAGCTTGCCTAAAGTTCAAACACACCAAAAAAAAATAAAACTTATCTTGAAGGGACATCTTGAAGCGGAGGATTCTTATCTTATCCCGCGTTGATGTCGGCCGGGCTCATCTTGACACTGGTTCTAAAAATGTAGACTCCATTTCACTACTGTAGAACAGAAACAGGAGCACTGCTGCCCAGGACGGCTATCCGCTTGGTCCTGAAAGTCCTATGTCAACACGCAGGTAACTCGTCAAATTTCGCCGGTCAGAAACGTTGTTGCTAGGAAATTACGGCTCGCCTGTTCTTACTCATCCTAAGAGCAAGCTTCACGGGTAACGTCCCAAGTAAGTTCCAGAGTAACATCCACAAGTCCAGCCAACCAGTAAGTGCCCGAGTCCAAAAGTAAGAGTGTCCAGAGTAAGTGTGTCTCCAACTCGAATTTCCTTCGTCTCCTTCACCAAACGGGCTCCCACTATGGCTTCACTTATCGCCCCCTTAATTATGGCAAAATCTTCGTTTTCAACTCCAGAATGCGGAAAAAAGGGTGATCGCGCATGCGCGCCCTTCTTCACTTAGCCAACAACCGGACCCTCAATCGCCAAAAACCTGAATGACTTACATTGAAAGACAAGTAGCAACCTTTGACCTTTCCGTCACGTACTTTCCTCTCTTAAGGTCAACTAACAATGAAAATTCTTTCTCGAACATTCTAAAGCGCGCGAAATCATGACTTGGCGAAAATTGCCTCCCTTTCCCTGCTTCTTTCACAATGAATAAAAGTTTGTACAAGATTTGCAAATAAAAGAAAATAAATAATATTCATTTATACTAAATAATATTTCCAGAAGCATCTGTTTCCCCAAAATTAAAGCCTTAAATTAAATAATTCAGAATCAAAATAAAATTTAAATTTCCATAAATCATAAAATCATTCACCTAATTTTTTATAACGCTATCATATAATTTCTCTACATAACATTCCTTTCCCCTAAGGAATTAAATTTTGGTTTACCAAAATTTAGCAGACAGACACTTCTTGAAATACCATGACTCATACTGTGCAATAAGGCTAAAGGATAACATAATGTATCGTCGAGTGCATCGTGAGTTGTAGCGTGGAGAGTCTCGAGAGTACGTGGAGTTCCGAGAACGACCGAGCAGAGTAGGGAACTGTACTCTGGTGCAGTGAAGCTGTCTCCACCGTTAAAGCCTGATAACCTGAAGGCTGTGACGCTGATTGTTCCAGCGAGTGTATAGTAGATCTTCGACGACTGTAAAACGGGACTTTGGAGTTGTCCTGATTAATATTGGCCAATAAAGTGTGTTTCTATACTTCATCAAGTGTCGTCGTTATTCACTCCAAATCTTTACGAACCCCGTACGTAACGAACGTACTAAAGGAAGAAAATTGCGTAACAACTGGTGTCAGAAAAAAGAAAAGTAACAATATGTACAGATCAGCAGTTTTCTTTCTACAGAAGCATCGTCCACATAGCGATGGAAATAAAGGCAACAGCAGGTACTTGCGCATCATGGAAGTTCCTCAGCAGAAGCAAACGCATACATATGCAAAATCCTTAAGTTTTAAAGTCTCTTTTAAAGTCCATACGATGATGCGTGCTCTCGCGCTGTGTCAAGAATTATGATATTAGCATAATTTCTGGGAGATCATTTGAAGTTGCATTTTCTGCTGGCGACTCTGAAGAAGATCTTGAATTAAAAAGTGCTTTTAAAGGCTAGTTTTGTGTTAGCAATTGTACGTTTTAATTTCTATCGAGATCTAAGCGAAGTTTGTAGCTCCCGATAAGATTAAATTAAATTATTTGAATTTATAGCAGCTTCAAGAAGACTTATGTTTTGAGCTAAGTCCAGGTCACTGGTAATTTTTTGTTGTATATTTTAATTTAACCCTTATAAGTGGGGAGGTAGAATAAATTTAAAAGGCATTTTACCCTTGTATCTGTTTGTTTTAGGGTTAGATACACTTATAGTGAAAATTCACTCGTAAAATGCGTATGACACCTTTCTAATTTATCGAAATAAAGCCAGCTAACTGTAGTGTTGAACCCGAGGCAGGTGTTACAGTTCTTATGAAAGGAAATTTAAAATGTCTATATGAAGTTGAATTCTTAGAATTTGTACCTAGGCAATATAATAATAATAGATGCAAAAATTATGCCATTTTGAAATTTCATAATTGCCTTTTTTAGCCCAAAGGGCTATTAATTTCGTTCTGGCATTTTGAGTTGAAAACTTTAAATTTCCGTTTCACTTTTGGGCCCACCAGCGGCCGAGCGGTAAAGTCGCTGTTGGTTTTTCCCATGTGTAACGTGTATACGAGCCAGTTTCCCTTAGAAAGTCCTCCACGAAGGCATCCCTCCCTTTAGTCCGATAACCCTCGTGTGCTTTGCCGTAATTAAATAATCCAAATCCGTTTCATTTTTGAAGTTGTTGCCACCAAATATTATCGCCCTGTGTTATATTTAAAGAAATTAAATATTGAAGAATCTGCATAAATGTATGTATGTTTCTCGCATTGTGATAAAACAACGCTACTCAGAGCCCTCCAATTTTGAATAATATAATCCTCCACCGAATATGGGCATCTGGAAGCCCTAATGTGGAATTTGTTTTATTATCGGTTTCATATTTTGTCAGACATTAAAAAATTTTTGATTAGGAAACTCAACGATTTCAAAGTCAGCAATGGTAACACTGTACGGAAAAAAAATATATCGCCAGAGCTCGAGAATGTGTATTGGAAGTTTTCTTTTAAATATTTTACGCTATTGCTGTTGAATTGAATTTTACGGTTTAAGTACAAAGAATATGATATTTAATAAATGTAGGTAACGCACAAAACGTTAGAAAGTGCCCCTTTGGGCGTAATGTAAAATCTGAAAGCTTTCAGGTTTTTCTTTTAATTGGGATACAACCAATCAAATGTGTGCTAACATTCACAAACAGAATGTTCCTGTCCGCCCCCTCCTTAAGAATATTTTTCTTTTGAAGCAAATGGTTTCATTCTGTTATCATAGAAATGCACTATTGCTTTAAAATAGCATTTTCATCCATTGGCATTGCATATTCTAACATTTCCCGGTGATGTTTTCATTTGTATCTTCTGCGAAGACAAAATTAAAATTAATTTTACCAATATCCTAAAAACTAAAAAATGGGAATTGAAAATTAGTTTACAACTAACGTAGCAACGGAGTCTTTTGCAAAGTTGGGTAACTGAATGAAAATTTTAAAAAAATGTTTATAGTTTATAGAAATAAGTATTTGTGTACTGTAATGACCAAAGGTGTTTGGAGACTTTTGCTACTTTTATTTGACTATCTTGCAGTTTATTACTTCTATTTATTTATAAACGATTAGCAACTTAGTAGTAATAGCAGGAATTTTGGTTTTAACAAATAATACTCAACCTTAATATTAACATCTTTTATTTTCCTCTAGACGTAGAACCACCCCTCATTAAATGCCCTGAAAACATAGTCGTAGATGCAGACGAAAATGAAGCAAGTGCCCTTATAGAATGGCCTACTCCATACACGCACGACAACAGCGAGGAACCTGTTATTTTAACTGTCATACCTGCCATTGTATCGCCCAGAAGATTCGACATTGGCGTCGCTTCTGTTTTGTACTCAGCGGAAGATAAGGCCAGAAATCGAGCACGCTGTAATTTTACTGTTACGGTCAGAGGTATGTATTTTCTATCATATTGTTACGGTTTTTGTATTTAGTTTGCTATTTTTAGTAGAATTTGTAATTAAATTGTTTCATTTCGCCGTGCAATGCTCCGCGCGACACGTTTTAAGAGAAAGCTACGCCGAAAAGGTAAAATTACAGGAGAACGCGCATTAAACATTTAATAATAAATATATATCTCGTAATTGTACTCTTTTGCTATCCAGAAAAATCGGGAAATTACCAGAATGTTCTCTTGCAGGATAAAAATCTTATAAAAGCCGGATCAAAATATCTCAGTTCAGTTGTTTATTAGTTTTTTACTTAGTTCTTGTTGTTGATTGTAGCGAATTCGCTGTGAGATCGGATTAGCTTTCTCTGTTTTGAATTGAGTTCTATTGAAAGTTTTAGTAGTTTAAAACAGCGGTCGTCAATCCTTAGAACTTCACGGACCACTACATATATAATTTTATATTTGGCGGATTACTAATATAAATTAAAAAAAGGGTTAAATACATTTATATAATAATAATCAGCAAACTACACATATTTCGTTCACATTGGAAAATTACATGAAAAGCATAAAATCTTATCTTCTTGTACAGAAAGCTTCACATTTCCATATCACTGAAAAGAAACTTCACGAAAAGCAAGAACAAACCGGCAAACGCAAAGCAGTATCAATAAACTGACTGTGTTATGCCGTCAATTTTCAATTATTGTAAACATAATAATCATCGCTTACTCAGCAACGCCGCCATCAATCAACAGTTATACAAAACAAAAGCAGAAACTTCCAGTGATGTAACTATAAACAAGAATGCAGATTATTCTCATAATAATCCATCAAGATGCCTATTCACACGGAGAAAAGCTGTGTTTTTAAACCATAATAGCATATGTTTGTAATTCAAAAGAAAAGAGAATTCCAGTTCTCGCTGTTATTGATAAAAGCAGCATATCCATGGACGCCAACTCTCACTTTCAAATCTCGCTAACTACACCTGCAAAAGTAGCTAAAAAGTCGCCAAATTCAGAAGGAATTTCGCTAAAATTTAAAAAAAAGTATAATCCATATTCCATAATAGGTTTTGTTTACTCGTCATTTTTTAAACTGAATCTTCATAAAAATATAAATAATGTCCCAATGTTTCTGCGGACCATCAAAAAGTTTTCACGGACCACCGGTTGGCTACCGCTGGTTTAAAATAAAACTACTGTGAGATATTGCGATATTGTACGAATATCTCTGAGGAAATTTCAGCATTTTTGTTTCATTTGTTGTGATAAGAATAAATTTTATTCACTTTTTATCGACTTGTGCATTTAATCCATTACGAGCCCGTACGCACACAACAATATTATGTTTGGAATAGATTAACGTAACGTTGAATTTGTCCGCTCATCCACAACTTTAGGTAATTGGAATTCATCTAAATTCAAGATCACCTAATCAACACTTTCCCACTTAGTTTCAACAGCAGCAGTATTCTCACTGTATACTACTCTTTGTTTTAGTCATTCTTTTAGTACTCCTCACCTAACGTATTGTCAAGGTCTTTAGGTCATAGCAACAATTCAGATTTATTTATTCCACTGAGAGGACTCAACAAGCTCATACGCATCAGTGGACCACTTGTTCTGTTGATAGCGATACGAAATAGAAAAGCCATCCATAAATGGTGGGAAAGAACTTTCTTGTTTTCTAATGGCTGAAGCCATGCATTGAGAATTTTCTGTGACAAATGTTATTTTCTGATGTCTAACTTTTGTGGTTGGGTACTTTGGTCGCCGAATGTGCGCCGAAGGGCCAGAAGTTACCCGTTTATATGGCGGTATTGAAAGCTGTGCGATGTTTAATGTGCACAACGCCGACTTGGTAGGACTGTATTATGAAGGAAAACAGATTGCTGTGTACATGAGGAGAGCACAAGTTGGCACTGCCAATACCAATCAATATAATATATATGTAAGATATAACAAAATACGATGGCTGCTTTGAAAATAATTGGCGACCTCAAAATTAACTATTCTATATTTGCTGTTCTCCCCCTAACTTATCTTTTCTCCCAAATTGGAGGTCTTTCCAAATTACCTAACACTGCTTGAAAAAGATAACTAAAACTAAAATTAACGAATCACGGCTAAGCTCTACTTCTGCACCTACGTAATATAAATATTGCTTCGCAAGCAATTACGCTTTCTTTTTCTCTGATTTCTTCCATGCAAAGAACTATGCGCCACTTACGCTTTCCTGCCGGAAATGACGTCGTATCTTTTTACCTGTGTATATAAAAATTTATTGTATTCAACGATGATTGAAAAGTAAATTTGTCTGCCAAAGAGATGATTTGAGACCTGTAAAACTAAAGATGGTGACTCTTCAATTCAGCTTTTTTATCTGCTTCATCAAGCCCACCCTCAACCATTGATGTTGAAGGATGGAAAAACCTTCTGGAACGAATTCTTACCGGTTTAGCCCAGAATTTTCTCGAACACAAGCCGAAAGCTATATCACCCTGCTGGTCCGCAGTCAGTTAGTGTGTGTCTCGTCTAGCGAGCTGATAGTCAGTCATTGAGCGAGTGTCTCGAAGTCTAGCGCCGAGTTGGTCGTTGAGTGCATCGAAGAGTCTCTTACTGTGTCGCGGTTAGTGCATCGTTGAGAGAATGTGTTAAGCTCCGTGAACGACTGAACCGAAGAGTCGAGAGCTGTGCTCTGTGTGCCGTCGAGTGCATCGCGAGTTGCAGCGTGGAGAGTCTCGAGAGTACGTGGAGTTCCGAGAACGACCAAGCAGAGTCGGGAGCTGTACCCTAGTGCTTTGCCGTGAAGCTGTCTCCACCGTGATAGCCTGATAACCTGGAGGCTGTGTCGCCGATCGTGTTAGCGTGTTTATAGAAGTTCATCGAAGACTGTAAAAATGTGTTTTGGAGCTGTCCTGACAATACTGGCCAATAAAGTGTGTTATTCGATACTTCATTAAGTGTCATCATAATTCACTCCAAATCCACACGAACAGTGTACGAACGTGAAAGAAGAAAATAACGTAATAAGTGGTGTCAGAAAAAAATGTAACAATAAGTTAATTTTGTTTTTCATAAAGGTTACTTAATGTCAGGACTTGAGGCCATCTGGTTAGATTTCGCGCCAACGTTTACGTTTGTCGCTAAATACCATCCTATTAACAGAAATATATCAAACAACTCCCTCACTCAGTACATTTAACCCTTCAAATTCAATAGCTTAACTATACCTCCGAGAAGCTAAAAGAATCGGTAGCTTGTCCAAATCTTCCTAGTCCTTCCGTGGCCGAAGGCCCAAGGCACGATTACTTCGACATAGCATTAGTACTGCGAACGGGCTGGTTTCGTGGTTTTACTCACGTGTAACGTGGATGTGAGCCAGTTGCATTTAGAAATGCCTCCAGAAAGGTATGCTTTTAAAAATCCTTCAGATAGGCGCATTTTTTTTAGCCCAAATGATGTTAGCCCAGAAGGGCTATTAATTTCGTTTTAGCATTTTGCGTTGATTCACTATAAACTTCGGTTCACTTTTTAAATTTTTACCACCCAATATTAGAGCCCTGTATTATATTTAAAGAAATTAAATAATGAATAATCTGCATAAATGTATGTATGTTTCTCGCATTGGAATAAAACAACGGTACATAGAGCCATCCAATTTTGAATAACGTATGTTTCCACCCGAATATAGGCATCTGGAACCCAAATTTGAAATTTGTTTTATTATCTATTTCATATTTTGTAAAACTAAAACTGTAACGAATTTTTGATTAAGACACTCAAAGAGAGCGATGACAAAACTGTACGGAAAAAATATTATCCCAGTGCGCGAGACCGAAGTTCTAAAACATGCTCATTTTAAAACTATTTTTCAATATTGCTGTTGAACTGTATTTTACGGTTTCGTGGTTTTACTCACGTGTAATGTGGATGTGAGCCAGTTGCATTTAAGTGCGAAGAATATGATATTTAATTAATAAAGGTAGCGCACAAAACATTAACTAAACACCGCTTTGGGCGTAATGTAAAATCCGAAAACTTTCAGATTTAATTTTTTTTTTCCGTAATTAGTTAACTAACCAAAAAGAATATCCCAAATTATAGTTTTGAATAAAATTAATCTTTCACAAATTATATGCGTTAGAGTTTATACAAATCATAAAATCATCATTTCACAGATATGCTGATTTGCAGTTCATTCTCATGACTTTAATACGCAATTTTTACTGTAGAAAGCAGCGCCATGAATTAAAAATCTCTGATTTTATGATAATTTTACCATTAGTTTGTGGAAAAACATACATAAAACGAGAAACATACATACATTATCTCAGTAAACGAGTTCCTGAACCAAAAAAGAAAAAAAATAATAACATTCACTTCGTGTTGAAATCTGGTAATGAAATTCAAATTTAAATAAATTGAATTTCGTGTAGGGCGGTAATATACAGGTATTCGGTTATCATTAAACTTGTATCTAAATCTTTATAAACTTAATAAAATTTCTTCAGTTTCAGGATTTGAATTTCAGGATTTCAGTATCTTTTTATTTAGAATTATATTTGTATATAGAGATTCTACAGAATACTACATTTTCTCTTTCTTAAAGAACTCTTTCTTCATGAATTTAGATGTGCAACCACCTACGATTGATCGTTGCATATCTCCTCCTACCGTTTTGTCTCGTGTCCTTCCAGTCAGTGTGTCTTGGGAAGAACCTTTGTTCTCGGACAATTCTGGTAAACCAGTGAATGTGGTGAAATCTCACAACAGGCCATCATCGTTTTACTTAGGAAGCACGGACATCGTGTACGAAGTCGAAGACCAAGCTGGCAACAATAACACATGCATCATTACCATAACGGTTCAAGGTAAGAAATTAGAACAGTAAAAATAATATGTATTTAGTATCGAAATTAGAAAACAGTGTTAAACTGTAAAGAATTTAATGCTAGTTTGTAATCAGAGTATCACATTCTAAAGTCATCATATTTTATGCGAAAAATAGAATATATATTAAATTAGTGGAAGTACCCGATGCCAGTTAAGTTAGACTGAGAGTAATGTATCTAAAAACAGAGAGAACGATAACGCTGTAATCCTTCTCCAATAACGATGCAAAAAATACGATTCATAGTCAGACATTTTTCAGTCTCATCTGATATGAAATCCACATAAAAAATTTTCATAGAAAAATAAACTCATTCTGTCTCATTATAGTATCAGCAACAACAGCACGCAGTTTTCAATGATTTTCGTCTTTCTAATCAATTGGTCGTAAAAGCTCGAGTTCCATCCAATATTTCACCTATATTTCAATTTTAGATGATTAAATGTGGCGAAAAATGGATCACAATTGATCAGAAAATCAATAACGCGAAAAAACAAACGAACATACAAACAGGCATTCTTCTTTATATAGAGAGATTTTGTAAAACCTACAAATTTCTGAATAACAAACCCTACGATTTGAAAGCTAGCAGTAACAACGCTTTTCAAAATAAAGCATTTTGATCTCCAACGTCCGAGACTGTTGCCTTTCGGAAAACTGAGTGTGAAAATGAGTGTTTTCAGAGATTTTAATTAATATCTCGGCTAATTGAAGTCGTAAGAAGATGAGAATAGTCGAAATGGCTTCCCACGAATTTTTGGAATCGGGAATATTATATTTAATGTTTGCCAATGCTATTTTTATTCCATTTTAAGATTTAGAATTTTTTATTAACAAACTCTACGATTTGAAAGCGAACGGTGGCAACACTTCTCGAAATAAAGCAGATTTTCATCTCCAGCTTGCGAGACTGTTGCCACTCGGAAAATTGAGAGCGAAAATTAGCGTTTTTAATTAATATCTCTGATTTTAACTTTTTTTTGGTGGGGGGAAGGTGGACGTCGACCTTTTTCAGCACACAGAAAAGAATTGCAGAAAGTTTGTTGACGATAGCTATAGTAGTGACTGAGTTTTTAGCGAACAAATAAACAGACTTTCTTCTTTATGTATATAAAGAGATATATATGAAAGGAGCAAGACAACTTGAATTAGAGAGACCTTAGTGGTCAAGAATTTTGCGCATTTAGCTGCAAAATTCTTTTAATTTTATTAGTAAGAGGAATGTTTAAAAGCTAATGCTAAAAAATAAATTTGACACTATAGTTCCTTAGCAAAAATGTAAAATCAAGTAACAACTAGAAACAATATTAAAGTAGTAAAAGATATCTAATAAAAACTAAATGTAAAAATTACAAATTGAGATGACTTCCATAAAAAAGATACTTGATAATATAGTAGTTTGGCAAAGCATGTCATTATACTGTCGTTTTTCAAAATGTATAAACACATTAACTTCCGTAAAACTTTTATGTCTTGAAATATATATGTATTTTTCTATGCCTAGAAAACTGTGTATAGTGTATATTAAAATTTGCGTATTATTGTTATCTAATAACAAAATATTTTTTTCAAAATAGCATAGAGATGTTTCCTTCAGAAGTTTTTATTGCTTTTTTGTTTTCAATTATAAAGCCTGAAAATGTAATGTCATATTGAAGGAAGCCTCTTATATAAAACAGTGAGGGTCGAGGATGTAATATCAAAAGTATTCTTCTGGCACAATGTGGGGAAATTTGGAACATATTAGTTTGACGTGGTACAAATACATTTGTGTACTCTCTTACATCCTTTAATCACGCTGACACATTTTAACATACTGCTCGTTCTGGATAAAATGGTAGTTACATTGTATAGCTATCTTTCTTGCTTGTCAGAGCTAGCATTTGGCGGTTTTTACTTTTCCCCAAAAGATGAAAGCATTCCTAAAGATATGCTTTTTGTTATGAAGATGTTCTGAAATTAGATTCAAAGACTACCTTAAAACTTGTGACTGGCAGACAAATCTGTAAATAATAACTTAAATGGACTTTCGCAGAGATAAATGTTAGCTGTGGCTAAATTTGGAACACTTTTATAGAAGTCTTTCGAGTAGTAAAGTGCCGAGTAATTTTCCCCGATTGTTTTGAAGCTGTTCTATATTAGGTTCGCTGGATTTTCTTCATCTAAAAGTGTAACTAATCATCCTTATGTGATTATTTTCTAGATCAGTACCTCGAATTCATGCTAGCCAATACTGAAGGAATTTTTCCAATTGTTGGGAAAGTCCTTGGTCAATTGATGAGGCGTTTGATCAGCTGATGGTGAGAGAAGTTTGCCTTAATCTGCCCCAATGTTGATGAAGAACATCTAAATCAGAGACAGATCCAAGCCCCTTACCCTTGTTCCTAGGGGTTCAGGCATCTGATGAGTTTGTTGATCTTCATCCTAGTTTTGATGAAGAGCATCCTGATGGATAGATTCAAGAATCTGCTACCTCTCTTGTTAGACCTTGGGCAGTTGATGAGGGATAGACAAGTTTGCCTTCCTCTGTCCTAATTTTGATGAAGAACATCCCAATAATTAACGATTCTATGAGTTTCCTACCTCTGTTAGGTTTGGGCTGCTGATGGCTGACAGGCATGTTTGCCTTGCTCCAAGTGTCTCCATTTCGTGTTCCTAAGTTTTCGGCATCTGATGGATTACCAACAAGGTGGTTCAGCTCCTCCCCAGTATTACTGAAGAGCATTAGAGGATCGAATAGTCTCTTGTCCTTCTTCCTGAGTCTTGGATTAACCGATGGGTGACAGACGATTTTGCTCAGCTTTGCCCGAATTTTGATAAACATTCCCAAGAATCTCCCTCTTATCTTCCTAGGCCTTGGGCAACCGATGAGAGACATTTTTTTTCATTTTATTTCACCGACAGAGTAGCTGGTCTACTTGGGGAAATGTTTATCAGCCTGTTGTGATGCCTTGCCAGTGATTCTAATTTCGTTCACAAGTCTGAATACAATTCTGTTGGAGGCTGTCTTTATATTAAAGGTCAACGAAAATACACTGTAAGGAGTACAGTCAGTCAGCATTCTGCTTTGATTTTTCAACTGTTAAGCTGAAGGAGGCAGCGACCAATAAGTGACAAACAGGTTTGCCAGTCTCTGTCATAATTTTCCCCTCTTCCTCTGCTACCAGCGGTGAGGCGATAAAATCGCTGGAATTCGCTAATAGAACGAACATGCTAGCTGCATGGGAGTTTTAGTTTTCCCCCATGCGTAGTTTATTGCGGGCTGATTTCCGCACAAGATAGTTTTGAAAATATTGTGCAGTAGTCACTTAACCTCGCCTTCAACTTTACCACCAACTTCTTGAGCTCCACAATATTTTAAGTGCCCCATGCTGCAAAAACTACACAAATATTCATGACATCTCTGGGATTCGAACTCAGGACAAACTGTGTGACTCTACTCCTTTGCCATCTTAGCAAACAGGGCAGATTAATCAAGGCAAAAACAGTTCAATCAGGGCAAACAGGGTAAAACGCAGATAAATCATATAAAAATAAAAATTCCGGGAAAAGTGCTCACCATACAAGTTTCTTAATTAAGAATCAGCTGAACGATTTTTTTAATCAGTATTTGATGTCATTACTTATTTCTTTCAAATCTAATGTATGATATGTTTTTAGTTTAGAAGTCAAACAACAAAAATCAGCGTTATATTTTCAAATTTTCACAGGACTACTTTCGATGGTTTTAGCGAATCATCTTCAGCTGCCAAGCCTCATCCATTTGCGTACTGGCAGCTGAGGATGCTGGTTCAGTAAAATCGAAATCATCGAAACAAGTCCTGTGAAAATTTGAAAATATAACGCTGATTTTTCTATTTTGACTTCTAAATTAATACTTGTTCGGCGTGTTATTGTATCTTAATATGCTTTTAGCTTTCAAATAACATTTAAAGGAACTTTATAGCAATTACATTTAAAGAAAATTAAGAGAGGTGTGCTGTAAGAATTACATTTCTGTTCTTTTAAATGAAATTCATACGCAACTGTAAACAAAATATGATAATTTTCGAAAAATAAATGTATTAATTATCATGAAAGATAACATTTGAAAATGTAAGCTGTAAGAACTGGATTAACTGACATTATTACTATTACATCAAACTAGAGGCTCCTAAATTCCAATTAGAAAAGTTCTTGCTTGGAAAAAAAAATTATTTTTGCAATAAATTTTCTCTTATTATTTTTAGAACATGCCTGTGCATTTCCTGCTGATCCTTTACATGGCCATGCAAACTGTACCGAGGCAGAGAATGGCGTTTTTTGTACTTTAACTTGTGATGAAGGCTATGGTTTTGCTCTGAAAACGCCTCCATTTTATTTCTGTGCCTATGATGGAATATGGCAGCCTTCAGAATTCTTACCTTTTCCAGATTGTTCAAGTAAGTGACTTTCCTTGTCTTTTTAGTTGCCATTTAAAAATGTAATTTGATGTTTAACACAGAGCTAACATTTCTTCCATTTAAACTATGTAGGGTGGATAGTAAACTGAAATCGTTTCAGCAAACATTTTTTTGATATTTTTCAAACTAAAAATAAATCAATCACCTCTTAACATTTCTTGAGTAATAAATAATAAGGAATTCTAAGGTTAATTATTGCCTTAAAGCCAAAATTTACTTTCCTGAAATTTAACTACTTGCTCTTCATTAGACCGTCTATAGCAGAAGTTTTCAACCTTTCTTCCCCCCCCCCAATGCACCACTTTCAGAATTTGCTCCACGTTCTTTCCCAAATTCGAAACATTAATAGATATATTTATCTAGATTTAGATGATTTTTTAACGTATTTTATTAATTAAAATACAAAAAGTGTAGAAAGTGTAGATAAATACTAAAAATTGAATAAAAGTATTTTTTTTTATTCATAAACGAAAACAAAATATTTATGAGATAAATAAAAGGCTGACTGTGTTTCCTTCTGAAACTATGAAATTCCATATTTTTAGAGGTTAATAACCTCTAATATATACCAGTTGCAACCGCCATTATGTACATTGCGGAAAAAAAGAAAAAAAAAAAAAAAAAAAAAAAAAAAAAAAACGGAGGTACAGTTCTGTATTTCCCGTTCTACTGGGCCGATTGACGAAATTCAAATTGTGTTTTTCTATGTCTCGAAAGCGCGATTTAGGATATATATCAGATTTATATATAGCATTGTTCTAACATAGGTATATTGACACAAAAATGGGTCTTTTTCTGAAATAACATACCAATCTTTTTCCATATTTTGATTCTACTATTCAAATTATGAATAAATATTAAATTTTGTAAAATTTGGTGTGAAATTAACAGAGAAATTCTAAATTTTATCTGGGCGTATTTTTTTCAGTTTGCTCTAAGAATAATTCACATGGCGGAATTCTTAATATATGGCAACCTATTTTACTTTCCCTTCCATTGTGCATGAACGGAAAAAAAGTCATATCTACTTTAAAATAATTTTAACAAAGTGCGTAAACCACATTAGATGTTATTATCACTTTCAACAAATATGTCAAGTTTCAAAACGCGCCAATATATAAATGCACGTACTATATCTTCCGAAATTTTGCATAAAAAGCTCTAATGTTTTGCAGGTATACTTAGAAATATATCTACGTTAAGAAGATGTAAAAATTTTATAGTTTATAATTCAAAATGTTTCTCGAAAAAATTATAAAAATTATTTAAAAATACAAATTTAAAAATTAAGTCATAAAATGGGTGAACTTTATTTGGATTGAACTTAAATTTCGAACTGTGATAGAAGGAATTAAGTAAATATAATAAAAAAAGAGGTGTTAATAAATACATACCAAATTCAATTAACATTGAGGAGTTAAAATTTTGTAAGCTAATTTTTTAAAAACTACTCGTGCGATTTTTACAAAACTTGGCAGTTTGACATAATTTGAGTAGTACAATCGAAATATGGAAAAAAAATTGGCGTGTCATTTTTAGAAAAAGTCCGACTTTGTGTCAAAATACTTATGTTGGAATAGTGCTATATATAAATCTAATACATAGCTTAAGTCGCGTTTTCGAGACATGAAAAACGCAATTTGAATTTCGTCAATCGGCCCAGTAGAACGAGAGATATAGAACTGCCCCCCGCCCCATTTTTTCGGAGTGTACCTTTGAATGCCGTTTAATTTGTGTCTTGTATCCAGAAGCCGTACTGTAGGTAAGGTTTAGCAAAACGATATTTAAATATATGCCTTAGAAATATGCCTTAGAAATATATGCCTTAGAAAACATCGGCTGTTCCAAGTTTCTCGGAATGTTCATTTAAAGTAGTTTTTTAGTAAAGATAATCCTAAGATGATGTAAGAAATATACGGTACTTACGTAGTATCCTGTCGGCCGTGATATTTGACTACCATTAGAACCATGAATGTTGGATAAAATCCTGTCAAAGTTGTGCCATTCGTTTCTACAGAGTCTTGTTTTATTTTAAGAATAATTAAAGTTCTGGAAACATTTTTTGATAGCAACATAATAATGCAATATTAAAAATTAAGAATATCAAGCAAATATAAATTTAAATATAAATAAAAATCGGAAGTGACACTGATAATAATTCCAGTATATGATGAAAATTAAGATAATCACATAAAATGAAGTTATTTCAAAGAAAATAAATTTTATTGCAACAATTGGAAATGATGAAGCTTGTTGCGACTTGGTCTTAGGGCTATAGTTTCTGATATGCCAATTTTCACTTCCTTGTACTAAGTAAAGGATGTACTGTAATCGCGAAAAATTTTCGAGGATCATATATCAACGAAAATATCCATTTTGACCGCTCTCGAATCCGTACGAACAATGTTTTTGCGTGGCATCTGTACGTACGGACAGAATAAAAGACTCTTCCCCCCAAATGGATTCTAAAATGGATTTAAAATGGATTCAGAAGAATTTTTCTTTCTTTTTTTCTTTGTGACGTCTCATTGTACATACGTATGTACGCATGTATGTATCCCGCATAATTCAAAAACGAATAGCCGTAGAACGTTAAAATTTTGTATACGAGGCTGCTATTTCATGTAGTTGTGCAACTCTCTTTTTTGTTGCAATCGCCCACACCAAACCTATATATATATATATATTCTTAGCCGGCTGGGCGAGCTGATTTTTTTTTATTCTTATATATTTGTAAATTGTGCATCTTTTGCTGAAAAAGGAATGGAATTATATTGTTGCTATATTCCGGTTAAGGTTTAGTTAATCTGCATGAAATAATTGTAGAACTGTCACCAATTTAAAGGTGGCAGCCATTTGCTTACATTTGAAACTTTTAGGAGAACAGTGAATTAAGTCAGTTGGTGTACTAACGGCAGCGTCGTTTTACCCAGTGGGACCAAAATTTAATTTACAGTTTTGTGCACTGAAGATTTTATTTTCCTGCGCGCTGGACGAATTGTCATTTATTCGTAGATTCCTTAATTTTAGTTCTAGAAATTGTTTTTTAACTGTTCTTAACTGTATTTGGTTTTTAAGGTTTTCCTGTATTTTAAAGTTTTCAATGAAAATTGAGTTTGTATGTATTTTTGCCTTGCCACCAAGTGAGAACTGAATTGATTAAATTAGAAATGTATCTCTAATGAAATTGGAAGAAATACGTTTAAATGAAGTAGAGGAAAAAGTACAAAGAAGTCATGTAGTGTTTACATCAGATATTCATATTGCATATCTGTTAGGTACATAATTACGAAATAATTTCGTTGATAGGATCATGAAAGAAAAATCGTTACACAAAAATAAGAATTTTAATTTTAAGCCTTTGTAATTTTTCTATGCGTTTTCTTTCCTTTTTTATTAAACAGCTGACAGCTAACTGCGATTTATTTAATAACAAATGGTGGATTGCAAAATTTTAAGATTATCTTAAATATACAACTCAGAATTAAATATACTGTGCTAAAAAAGTAATGTCCGTTTTTTCAGATAAGCGCGGGTTTTCGGAAGCTTTTATTTAGTTTACTCATGGTATTTGACTATGGACGGAATTTTGTCATCAATTTTCTGATACTTTCTGATAAACTATCGTATTCAAATTCTGTACACACATTTTTTGTGGATCAGAGCGCAATGTGGTGTGGTGTTCTTCAAAATTCGAATTAGATTTTTTTTAATTTAATGTGAATACGATTTTTCTCGCATATCTTCGTTTGATGTATAAACTAAAATTCTCATGATTTTGTTGTTTGCACCATCGGATAGAGTGGAAAATAATCTTTAAAGTGAAGTTCATGTGAGATTTTTAATGTCATTTTTGATTTTTGGGCAAAATTTTTGTAAGACCTCTTCACGTAACAGAACTGTTGGAAATAAAAAATATCAAGTTATAGTTGAAAAACGATTTTCAGTTGAATAAATTTGATTAATAATATGCTGTTAAGGCTAAAAAAATAAAAATAAAACATGTTAAAAATTTTGAAGTAAGTTTTTATTTAAAACTCATAAGCTAATTAATAAAGCAAAAATAGTAAGATAATTTATCATATTATTTAACCTGCACAATTGATTAAATGATTATTTTTATAGAATTCATCAATAATTTTACATCAAGAATAATGAAAGCGTCGGCACCCACCTAACTAGCGAAATATTTTCATTCAACTGCATCATCAAAACTGTAAGCCGTTATCATTATAAATCAAGGGTCAAGGGTTTTATCTTAGGGCGCTCCGTGCTTTTAATATTCATGATATAACATTGTAGATGAATTTTGTAAAGATAATTATTTAATTTATTGTGCCCATTAAGTTATGATAATTGTTTTATGGATTTTAAACAAAACCTTATTTTCAAAATACTTTTTTAAAAATATTTTTATTCTAAATTATGTTATCATAGGATGTGAAATAAAGCAATACTATTTTGAGGAATGAGGGCACATTTTTTATTTTGAGCCAAGAGGCGTTGGACCGAAAGGGCTATTAGTCTCAAAACGGCATTTTGCGTCGTTTCACTTTCTGCGTTGCTTCACTTTTCAAACTGCTGCCACCAAATATTATCGCCACGCATTATATATTTAAAGAAAGTATATAATGAAGAATCTGCAGGAATGCACAAATGTTTCTCGCTTTTTGAAGAAACAATGGCACCTAGAGCCATCCAATTTTGAATGACGTAGTCCTCCAATCGAACATGGGCACTTGGAAGCTCGAAATTTGAATTTCGAAGTTGTTTTATTATCTATTTCATAGCTTGTAAAACTTTAACGAATTTTAGGTTAAGAAACTCAACGATTTCAAAGCGAGCATCGCAACACTGTACGGAAAACAAGTATTTTTATTTCCAGCGTGCGAGACTGTGTATCGGAAATTCTAAAGATGCGCTGTTTTTAAATATTTTGTGATATTTCTGTTGAATTGAATTTTAAGTGGTTTAAGTGC